TACCCCCCAGTGTGACCCTGAATAGAGATATTTCCACCTTCCACTCCGTTGTACTCAAGAAACGGCATCCCTCCCCTCCTGCCCCCTCCCTTACCCTCTGGGAAAATCCTTCCGCTTCCTGGGCCTCTTTGGCCACAGCTCCTGCCAGAGTGAATTGAAATGCTCTTTTTATACACCCGCGTTTCCCATTCCACCATAAATGGCTGGCAAACCATGGCTGGGGCGATCTTTTCCGTTTTCCCATCTTCAAAGCCCAGCGTGCTCCCAGGCAGAATGGTCCTCCGGTAAATTAAGTCTAAGCCATGGTTGGCTTCCAGTTCACAAGCTCCAGCGGCGCCGTCTCCCCCAAACCTAAGAGCTACAGGTCTCTTAGATGTTCCAGAGACAAAGGTCCTCAAAGCCCCTCAAATCCCTCATGCCTGACCAACCCTTTCAGCCCACCACACCCATATCCCCTCTTCCACTCCCTATTACTTCTCTTGGCCTTGAGGTCCAGGCGCATGGACCCAGAGGTCACCTGAGCCAAACATGGGGCGTTAGAGAGAAGGAAAGGCTCACACCTCTGGACCCAATCCTTATATCTTTGCTCGAAGGCTGGTCAAGAAGTCAAAGACGCCAACAACCTGAATGTGCTCTGTGCAAAGATGGACATGAGGCTGTCTCCAGGTGAAGGAAGAGTCAGGCTGAGAAACACAGCCTTCTTCCCACCTACTGGTGGGGCTGTGAATCCTAGGATACGATTCTCAGCTGGAGCTGTGCAAGGACAGCTGGTGCGCAGCCTGGCCAGAGGGTGGACCCTGCTCCCTCTGTGAAGCTGTATGATCCTAAACAAACTTCCCTTTCTGGGCCTCAGTTTTCTCATCTCTCAAATAGGAAGTGGTTGCTTCTCTACTTCATAAAGTTATGAGGATCAGGTGAGGTTGGGCGCTCATCTTCCTGCAAGGCCTTCAGCTGCTTTCTGAGGGGCCGCTGGAGGGGAAAGAGGTGATGGAGGGAGAAAAGGGCTTCAGCGTCTGCTGATCATTAAGGGTGTGCTGGGAACTTCCTGGAGGAGGCCTGTACTATTCACTGTGACAAGATACCTAACCAAAGCAACCTAAGGAAAAAGGGGTTTATTCGGGCTCATGGGTGAAGGGTACAGGCTGCCCAGGCAGCAGGAGCTTGAGACAGCTGGTCACAGTGTATTC